TTTTTTTTTTTCTTTTTTAAATTGGTGTTCAAAAACCGAGAACGGTCTAAAATTTAAAGACCAATTCTCGAAATAACTGTCAGAAAGCAGTCAACATTTAAACATGAGACTGGCTTATATTAGTGATAACTGATAGTCAGTAAACGTTACCATATATCAGTCACCTCCACTATTAGTAATGGTCATCTTACATATAACCAACAAACTGTCCGGGTAACTGCCACAAACCGGTATACACTTTGCCCAAATACGAAAAAACCCAGCTCATTACGAAATCAAATAACTAGTGCTTAGTATGTGTTCTGTCCCATTAAACTAATAAAACACATCATTAACTTACGACTAAGTTTAAATTGTTAAAAAATCACAGCTATTCTAGATCACATCAACATGATTTACAATTGCATCTTTCAACTCTTCCACTAAAGGGTTCGTTTAAAAAAAACTCAATGAAAGGATGGGTATGAGGAATTCCAACAAAGAAGACCAAAAACAGAACGTTGCATCTTCCTATTAATACTTATAAAAGGCCAAATTGCAACAATAGCGTCATTAAACACGTGAAAATTAGACTGTAAAAAGAAATGTGAACAGCAGAAAAACTGTTAAATGCGGCTTCTATCACCTTAACCCAGTCATCAAACCGCCTCATAGCGACATAATGTTGTTCAATGTGTAAGAACATTCCATTCGTATTCTGCAATTTCTTTGCGCAATAATAGATTCCCTCTCAAAGTCAAGAACTTAATGGTGCAGTAAATTGGCAAGAAAAAACTTTTATAAACAAAAAAGAATTTAGACATCCCAAACAAATTTTGAGAATTAAATTTCTAACCGCAGGTATTTGAACTAAATTGAAGCTTCCAAAATTGCCACATATCAGTGCAAATAAAAAGAAAAAAATATATACATACTGTAAAATTGCTTCTAATATTTTCTTTTTAAGTGCTCACTTATTACATTTTGAAAATCGGTATAAAAGGTTGCAATGAAATTACGGTTTCGTTTTCACTTTGGGAAACTTTATTATCGGCATTACAGCTGATCAGCATTGAGGCTGCAGTCAAGATCTCTGATAAATCCATCAAAACTTTACAACAACGTATTCGTAACACTTTAATAAGAAATGCGAACATTGTTTGATAAAATGCTATTGAAACCCTCACTAAAATGTTTCAAGAATGTCAGTGTTACCTTCGTGTATATTAATAAATTCATTAAAACTATTTACCCTTCCCAACATACATAATCACGCGCCGAAGTATATCTAAGTTATAATCAGATCTTATCCTAGCTGTAGTTTTGAAAATGAGATATAAATTACCTTAATTTCACTTTTCCGATAGCACACTTCAGTAGAAGGCACTCCGTTGAGAAACCTTCCAAATATATTCGTCGTCCCTGCGAGTTTACAGCTTGGCAATGTCGCTGGAGTGTGTGCGCCGCCACCTTCTATGATGTTATAATGGTCTCGAACCTAAGAAGGTTCGGTGATAATGCCATAAGAACAATACGTTCTTGTGGTGGACTGTTTTCTTTATCTATCGATGTCTACCACATTTGGTACACTACCAGTAAGGAAATATCGTTGAATTTTCTAGAACATTAAAAAAAGGTATACAATCTGTAAATTTACGGCAAACTCATAGCGTTATCAGTTGCATGCTAGTTTACATAAATTTGCTTGACTCCTACCAGTTCCCAGTTTTATCTCGTTTTTTAAAACAGTACGTGACCTACAAGGTTAGCAGCTGCGTCACAATGTGCATAAATTGCCGCTTGGCTTCCAAGACCAGCGCTGATGAAGGCATCTGCTTGTGGGCAACTAAAGCTTATTGGCACATATACCCATATAAGTAACAAGCAATAAAATAAAGGATAAATAGCATAATAACTGAATCATGTTTAAGGATAAATAAAAGTTGAAAAAGTAGAAAGTTTTACGTCAGAGAAAATTAAAAAGAAGGAAAAACTAGAAAACTACTTGAGTACTTTCATAGTTTGGTGAAGATAGGATTAGTACTGTCGTCAATGGTGGCCCATACCTTAGTTCTTTTTTTTTCCAAAATTTTTTTTTTCAGTTTTATTACTGCACATGCTTCAAAAAATGTATGGTAATTTCTGGAGAATAGTATAAAAATATTGGTTTATTTTGCTTAAAATTTCTCCACCGAAGGTATTTTTTTGAGCATCCACCCTATAAAAGTTGTCCACTACTGCTGCGGTCAAAAAAAGTTATTTTTTGTAGCTGTTACCTGCTATTTGCCATTCCATGCCATTGAATAAAATAATTTTTATTTTTTGTATCAGCTTCTACGGCATAACGAAGTGCCGTATTGAAAATGTGAAACATTGTTAGATTGTTATGAGCTGCGTCTGCCGGATAATTATTTGCTTGACAGCGGTTTTTGGCATTGCTGGAACGTATGTGACAGATACAAGTGCTGCGAAAGTGTTCTAACAACAATGGCTGATACCATATGACTATCTTTTAACTTGTTATTCTCAGACCGTTACCGACTTAAAGAGAATTTGGGTTTACCGTAAACATTTGGATTAATTAATCTTTTTTGACTCCCAATAAATAGTTTTTTTGTAAATCTCAAACTGCCTTTCTATAAGACACTATCTGACAAGGAAAAGAGCCAGATGTGATGAAACTGGAGCAGTTTACGAATGTATATATAAATTTTTTGCAGTCATGGTTCACAGACTGTTTAAGGTTTGTTATAGTGATCAAACATAGTTATAACAATTACTGAATGGAATAGTGCAAAAAATAAATTTTTTTAGGTGTTTAAATCAGTTAAGCTAAAGTGCCAATAAAGTATGACGACGACATATGTATATTTGCAACATTTAAATATTTTGGTAGATACACTAAAAGAGAGCTGTAGAGATTTTCAAAAGTGACGAGGTGTCAACAGCGCTTACCCGATGACAGCGTCTCTTGGTGCTCCAGCAATTATCAGTGAACGACTTTTGGTATGCTCAAAAACGTAAGCCGCTTGTGCACAAACATCTCCATCGGTCCGATAATGTGGTGCCGAATGATGTAACAGTCGTTTAGCAGTTATTGGATTATGCACAATCATATAACCCCAGGAGCGTAAGAAATATGATTGGTTTCTTAGAAGCGGTTCATGAATCACACAGTAATTATCCTAAAATGTTAATGAATTGGTTATCAATATAACAAAACGGTAGTAAACAAAAGGTATGGTATAAACATTCCTTTAATCAATTAAAAACAAATTAAAAAATGAATAAATAAGTTTTACTGATTTAGATAGAAGCTTAACAGCTTCACTTAAACCTTAAACATGAAAAAATTATCTTCTGTGAGCAAAAAAATCAATAGATGATATATAATTTTTTATAAAAGCATCAATAATTAGCTTTTCTTAAAAACTTATTAAGGCATCAAAATTTTATAAGATAAGAATACATCCATTTAACTGGGAAAACGACTAATTGTTTCGAAATTTTTGGCTTGTATAATTTTTAAAAAAGGAAGGAGTTGATGTTAAATAAGGCAACTGTTGTTTTGGAACAAAAAAAAAAAGGGAAGATACGAAACGAAGCTTTATTCCCCATCATAGTTTGCATTTTGTTTGTTCTCCGGTTCTCAACTGTTTGTCAGAGTTACCTCGATAAGAACCGTTCTAGAAATAGACCGATATATTTCTAAAAAAGCAAGAAATTTTTATTATTCTAAACCTGTAATCGAGTAATCTGAATTCTGTCAATAAGATACTGATACTGTTTAATCATCGAAGAACTACAGTGTACATCATAATCGGTGGCCAAATAAATTCGTCTTACCAACTGCAAAAAAAAGAAAACAAAAACAAAAAATTTGTTCTTTTTTTGTATTTATTTTAAAAAAACATGATTCTTTTTTTTTTTCTTTTTTTTTGATGATCACGTGAACTGAGTTGAAAACAGTCTAAGACGTTAAAATTTGAATCAACGATTGAGGTTGTCAAAAAAAATTATTTTGACGTTGATACAGTGCACAAAAGATTAATCATCAATCAAGTTGACAGCGAACTGAGAGGAAATTAAAAAATAAATGAAAATATGCCTTTTTTTATTTTTATTATACAATTTTTTTTTTGAATAACAGAAAAGAGTTTAGTAAATTTGTTTCATTGTCTGACAAATCGTTTATGCAACAAACAAATACCTCGAAAATTTGCGTAGTTTCATTTTCTGTCGGCAAATTCCGGTTCCATTCAGCTTCGGTTATTGACTGACTTCGTGAAAAATGCTTTTCCATAAGAGCATGAAAACTGACAACTGACTCATTTGATAACGATGGTAGTGCTGTTCCTGATGAAATTGACAATGGTGATGATACAACTATCCTACAGATAGCATATTCTATAGACAATGTTGTCACCACCACCAACAGCAATTTGAATATTGTAATTTTGTTCATTTGTTATTCCAATTAGATTGCTTTTATTAGTTCACTGCAAGTCATTAAGGATAATCATTAAGCTTTTCTGCTGTAATTGAATTTCCGAGATGTAGTAAAAATTTTGTTGTTTTGTACAATTTTCGCAAAATAAATGCACATAGGTATTCTAAAATTTCATTGATTTCATCGTATGGAAAAGAAATCAATTCAAAAGTGAGTAAAAAAGGTTTTTTTTTAAATAAGTTTTAGATAAGCACTAATGTTTAAAGACCCAGTCAAACTTTTTTATATAAAATATTCTTTTTTTATAATATTCAGAAACAAAACAATCTTAAATAAACTTTTCAACTCTTCTGACAAAGTTGCCATAAAAAAGTAAAAAGAAAAGCGGAAAATTGATTTTAGTGTTACGTTGAAGTTTTCCTAAAAGGATTTCTTTTTTTAGCAACTTTTTCCTATAAATATTAGGACAAAAACAGATTTAATGTTGCTTGTGTTGATGCTGTTTTTTTCTTCTTCAAATGTTAATTATTTAGAGAATGAACAAAGAAGGTGAAAAAATTGTGTAACAAAGCCAACATTACATTATAAAAATGAAAAAAAAAATGAAAAAAAAATAAGGAAAAATAAGTAATTTTTCTTAGATAAATAAAATAAATTTTTGAAAGCCACGATCAATCACTAACAGAAATCAGCTGAAAAGAAAAAAAAACGAACAGGAAGAATAAAGCAATACTTAAAGTTGGTAACAATGGTATTACTGAAGTAACGAATCAGCAAAATACAGCCAAAACTGGTTGCTGTGTCATCGTCTACTCCGACGTTGATCTTAGCACCTTTAACCGCAACGGTACAACAATCATTACTGCAGCTCATCAGCAGTGCTGATAGGCGGTAACCTTTAAACCAGATATTTACCATTATGTTCACTAAGTTCGTTCTTCTGACTTCGTCCGTATTGAAGTCTGCAAGCAAAAACTGCACAGGTTGCAGGCAAGCAAGAAAAACTGCAAAAAAAGCAAATGAAAAATTTCTGATAATGTTAAAAAAAATCAAAAAAAATAAAAAACGTTATAAACTTTAATTCGATACGACAGTAGTTTCATCTTTGCAATCAATTACTTTGTATTTGCTTATTTTCTTTTCATATAGGTTGATTATAAAGTTTATAAGCAGAATTCATGTTTGATCAATCTTTATCATTCGTTCTCACCTAACATTCGTCAGGTAGACAAACAAACAGAAGAATCTTCTTAGTGTCTACCATCACAATTTACTGCTATTTTTGAGCAAAAAAGAAGCGAACAAATTTATCAATTAATTGACAACAAATAAAAGATTGGTTTCTTCTAGCCTTAACTTGTTGTTAGTCTTGTTGAGGTAGGAATTACTTGAGTTGACAATTGGCTTATCACTGTATCTAATAAGTCTTCAGACCTTTTTCAGTTATCTATTCAAAACCGATAAAAATACATTTTTTTGCCGCAGAATTATTCCAGACGCACCCAGAAAATTATTAACTGCCAAGAAGCAATAATTTTTGATGATTCCGAATTGGACATTTAACCGATAATATAGAAAACTTTTGGTACAAGCGCTTTTCTGCTGTGATTTTTGCTCTACCGTAGAAGGTAAAATTATTTGAGTTTTATCCTCCTAACAGCTCAGTTATGTTGGTACAAGTTTGTTTTCATGCAGCAGCTGCCTTGTTTTCGTTGGTAAAAAAGCTGTCAACTGATAAGAAAACAACCGAACAAA